TGGCACTGCCTCACCAAGGTCCAAAATTAGTTCATCCCACCACTACAGCCACCATGTCACGGCTCAGGTGGGGTGCTTTGAGTGGGAGCCATTTCTTTTCCCTAAAGTTAGGCAAAGAATAATCTTTTCAGCAGCTAACTGAGGTGTTATTGTATGGGTATCTTCTGTCTAGAGCTTTCCTCAAAGCAACATAACTATCTTCAAAACAGCTTCAAGAGAAAATGGAGAGGAGGGCTGTAGCCCAGTCTTCTCCCTCACCCATCAATTTTCTACACACAGGGACTTTGTAGGGGAAGGAATAGATGAATATTTTACCAATCAAGCCCCCAGCTCATATTAATGACATAGCCTAAAAACACCTGTGACAGACTGTCAAGGATTAATGCCTAACAGAGTCTGAGAACCTCTGAGTAACAGGCTGTTTGAACCAAATTCTGTTGAGAGAGTCAGTTAAGGAGTGACAGGAATCAACAGTTGAGCACTGACTGTGGGCTGGAAAGGAGGCTAAGAGAGTATGCGGATCAAGGAGAATCCTCATTCAAGCAAAAAAAAAAAAAGGAAATAGCTTCTAGTAAAGAGAGGTGATCTCTGCCCAGTTGAGAAGGGAAATAGCTTCTAGAAAAGCTGGTTTGTGTATACAGAAGGATTTGGGGGACTTGGTTGTATGTTCCTGCCTTCTAAACTTTACGTGTCAGTGAAACTCAGAAACCTATGCTTGAGTGTTTAGACCTCTCCTCAACATTTTAAAGACATTGTTAAATAACAGAAATACATGTTGGCAACCAGTTATCTGGTGTTTGTATGAATACAGAGTTACCTCAGTTTTATTATCTGTTCAGTTTATACATCCTACCTCTGATTCTACCTGACCTTTTCTCCTCCAAGTTAAAACATTTTGATCTCTTCCCTCAGTTATCTGGGGCTGGGCTAGCATTTTTATACATTGAGCAGGGGGCTGGACTAGATGGCCTGTATGCCCACTTCCAAATCTGTGATTCTATGATTTTATATTTGTTTGTCTATGGCTTTGGGCCAGTTTGTCTATAGCCATTGGGCCTGCCCTCCCTCTTACATAAGAACATAAGAGAAGCCATTTTCAATCAAGCCAATGGCCCATCCAGTCCAACATTCTCTCACACAGTGGCCAAAACCCAGGTGCCATCAAGATGTCCACCAGCGTGGCCAGAACTCCAGAAGCCCTCCCACTGTGGGCCCCCAAGCACCAAGAATACAGAGCATCACTGCCACAAATATAGTGTTCCATCCTTATCTTGCAGCTAATAGCCACTGATGGACCTCTGCTCCATATCTATGTATCTAATAGTCAAGGTGCCCCCTGCGTGCGGATATCTAAATCCGCACAACAGGGGCACCCAGGGGGCAAAGAGATTGTCCTGCACATTTGGGGCAATCCCTGGATGTGCAGAAAAATCTGAAATCTATAAAAAACTATAGGGATACTTAAATCCTCCCAAAAGTAAAG